CACTTCCTAGAGGTGCTAGCTTGCCTGCCTGCCTATTCCATGATTAAACAAACCATGAAACGAATAACATTCTGTTTTATTACCTAGATAAGACACTAAAAATGTGGCTGAACTTGACTTACCACTGAACCTAAACTAAACCGAGCCCACATCTATTCCATTAAACGAATTTTCCAATTCAAATCAAGCTTTGAGAATGACTCTTAAGAATTAAAACTATAGTGATAAATTCCATGCCTTCTTGATAGATTGAGATGATGCATAATGCTCAACCAACAAAATCAACACTAGATATAGAATTCTGCAAGATTACAGCCTATGATTCAGCAATAAAACTGAAATTTGATTGAGAAAAATAATTCAAAACTATTTTTGATTCTAACTACAATAATTTTTTCCAGTTCAAATATTGATCACAGGGAATTTTATGATAGTTATAGTCTTATAGATAAAGAAAATCATTATTTTAAGTAAAAATAACACCGATTCCAATACTTACCATAAATCAAGAAATTGATCAACAACTTCAGGAGAACTGTCCTTGAAGAGCTCCACTGTTATAGAGCCTTTAGTGGTATCTAAAATCTAGTCATAAGAGGGGAGAAAACAAAGTTAAGTCAATGGATAAAACTCATTTTAAATAAGTATTAAATGTAAAGCCTAAAAGTAAGATAAAGTAATAACTGAAAATATCAGCTAAATTTCATTCATTACCAAAAGTATCTGTCAATATAGTAAGATACAATTGGAAAAACTCAAAAGGAATAACATATCAAGATGCCGTATTGAAAGATATGCTAATGAATATGTTTTGTTAATGGGCGATGCAACCAAGAACATGATAAAACAATTTCTTTTGAAATGTCTTTAGATGAAGTCGCATTATAAGAAAGGATATTTGAATTGGATATGGAACCGTTATAAATTAATCATCTAGGGTCAATATTGTTTCCCAGAACTAGGCACAACACATTCCAGGCCAGTATTACAAAAAGGTAGACAATATACACACAGGCATAGTATATTAATTAGGGAAGAGCTTAGCAAGTAAAGGAACCTACAGCGTATCCTGGGAGATCAGATTTCTTGGAATCCATGAAAGAGTTGTCACCCTACCAAATACAAGTGGCCACAGTCGTTAGAGAGGATATAAAGTTAGAAACAATAATAACAAACAGGTAAAATCCTCGTGAACTAAGGATGTGCACACAAGAACAGAGAAAAGTTGCCTTCAAATGTTCTTAAAAGATGATACATTGATAATGGGCACGGAGTTGAGAGTTTTATTGATACAAACAAAACAAAGACTTATAAAAAATACGATGCCATGAGGATCAAAAAGGCCATTTCAGAATGATAAGCAAGATTCTCAAGAGGGTACCTTGATAACTGATTGCTTGTTCTCTATATGCATTCTTGACCTAAAGAAAAGAAAACTGGGTCAAATTTCAATGACTAATACTTTGAATTAAGGCTAATATTTATTTACTGAATAATAAATATTAGCCAATTTATTCTCTACAAACAACTTCCTTTCTAAAAGTACTGCTCTACAATTAGCAAGCCATGCAGTAAATTACATGAATCAACAAAGCGTGGACATAATAAAGTTTAAAAGCATTGCAGCACTAAATCCCTACTCCCATCGGCCAAATTGAACGAACCTTTGAGTCCAATGTCTGTAGGAGGCATAGACAAAAAGCACAATCAAAACAACAATCAAAGTCGACATTATAATTGTTGTAAGACTTATTCGAGATGGCCCTTTCTTCCTTTTGCTTTGTTGTAGCAGAGCTTGTGGTTTGATCCTCGCCATCACCTTAGAACTTCAGTTCGAACAATAAAACCCTGAATTTAGAAACAAAAACTCGAGTCAAATCCTAGAGCCAATAAACTCATTATTAGCTACGAAGCAGTAAATAAACCACATTTTTTAGTTAAAGATATGTACAGAAATATATTTTATCGAGTGTACGAAAATCCACATATTTTGGACAACAAGAGTGTAAAGCATGATCTCCCAAATGTATAAAAAGGCTTGGAACAAATTGAATATACTCGTGACACTCATCCTGGAATCCACGAAACATAGATTTAACACCTTTTATTGCTCTACTTGGCAGACTTAGAACAACAGATATAAGAGATGTCCAATTGTTTGAACTTAAATTATAGACACGCAAAAAATAGACCGAAGCTACGAGAAATTTCCAAAGTTTATAGTATCAAAATCGAGGCTGAAATTGAACATTAGAAGATCTAAGAGTTGAAAATTGAAATATATGAAAACTAGCGAAAAGAAAATATAAAGGATGTCTCCTGACTTTAATTTTTCATCCAGTTGGAAATAAAAACCCTAGAACAGAGAACTATCTCTGAAAAAAGCAGGAATTGGAAGAAAACAGTTATGAAACCGTCAAGTTCAAATCGGTTAACTACAAGATAGAGATAGAGGGGGAGAGAAAATACCTGTGATTTAGCGTTAGTTTCGTCCACAAAGAGTACGAAATGAAAAGGGGAAAATGGGAGTTTTAGTTTCTTTTTTCTGGTCTTTGAAGTTGATCTCCTTCCTGTAAGCACAGGGAAGATCCAGCTAAAGCGTTTTACGATTCTTCCAGTGTTCTAATTTCAATTTAGATACTTTCCACTCTTAATAACGACAAACTTAAGCGTAAAATATACAAATGGTCCCCAACTATAGGACATTACTTATTTTAATACACAAACTATTAAAATTTATAAAATGATCCAACTATTAAAAATTATAAATTGATCATTAGACTAATCATATTAAATTTATGTAATAATAAAGAATTTTATTATTATTCTTGTAAAATGAAAATACAAATAAAAAACAATTAGCACCCTCGTCGCCTAGCTGCATTATTTTCAGAACCGGATCGGTTAGCGAATCGACCATGCTACCGGTTCATTGGTTCAATCGGTCGAACCGGTCCGACCGGTCGAAAAACCGGACGACGTCATAATTATTTAAAAAATTAAATAAAAATATCAAAAATATTTAATGAAAAATAATTTTTTATATCACAAGTCATATTCAAAGCAAATCATAACATATATAAGTTAAAAACCATAAAATCAAGTGAAACAAAATGATTCAAATTAACTACAACATGATATTTAAGGTAAAACATATTAAATAGTAAATATAATTATATAACTATAATTAAAAAATAAATTTGGGGTTAAAAAATCATAACAAAATGATATTGTTTGGTTTAATTTTTTTTTAAAAACAATCTCACATGGCTAAGAAACATAGAAGAGCATCCCAAAAGTTTAAAGAGTAAAAATATGAGAACAAAACAATCTCACATTGCTAAGAAACATAGAAGTGCATCACAACTAACTTCTATAAATAATAGAGGTAATTTGGCATTCAAAATCATGGAGTCTTTTGGTGAGCATTGAGTGAACTATTCTTTCACTTCAATCAAGCTCGAATTTTAGGCTTCAATCGAGCTTCTAATTTTTTTTTGAGTTCAAGCCTTTTTGAGTTCAAGTTTCAATATTATATTTCGAGTTTGAGTTGAACTTGATAATTTTTAGCTTGTGAGTTTGAGTCGAGTTGAGCTTACTTTTAAAGTTTTCAAGTTCGAGTCGAGCTCAGCAATACTTTAGTTCGACTTGGCTCGTTTAACAAACGACGTCGTTTGGTTTATTTAAAAAAAACAAAATTGGCGGTTTTTTCAATTTTTTCCCGGTTTTTTTAGTTTTCAGCCGGTCCGGTTCGAACGGTTCAGCGGTTCTGGCCGGTTCACTAGTAGCGGTTCAACCGGTGTAGATCAGTTTTCAAAACACTGCCTAGCTGCTTTTTCTTCTTCTGCTTCCTTTCCGAAATAAATATAGTTTTCCATTTAAGTAATCAATTTTCATACTAATTAAAATACCAAGAAAATCAACAAATGATTCCTCGTTGCCACGAGCAGTTGGGCAATGGAGTTGGGAAACAAGTCTTCAAATGATCTCCCGATGTAGTAATGGTCCAGCAGATAGAGAATTTCATAAGAATCTGACATCCTCTTCCTGTTGTTCCAGGACAATGGTGGCAAGAGCAAGTCTATATGCTGAAGACCTAAGGTTCCTAACAAGCACATATATCTCCTTCCTCCTACGCTTCACTGCCATCTCCTTCCACTGCTCTTCTCTCATACAAGCAAGCAAGACTGCCTCACAGTACGCCACTGCTGTCAGCTTTTTGCTGCATATATAAAATGAAATTCACCATGCAAAACCAGAGATGATCTAAAAAAATTTCCATAGTTGATACTTAATGATATCTAAATTCAATATTTGAAAAAACATGAACTAACCTCCCTCTAACAAATCCCATGGTGACAAAGCCGACTGGCCACCTATGATATTCTATAGAAGCTGGGTCATCTGATTCCTGGTGTTCCCACTTACCAGAAGGTTGTTCTTTAAAGTACGACCCCACAGCAGAATTAGGCATTTCAAGTGCACCTTCAATGCTGTCTATGCTGCAAATATCCAAATTCAACCGATTAATCTCGCAGATAACGTAAATTTATCGATTAGATGCAAAGATGTGTCAAGGACAAACCAAGTCACTCTGATCATATTAAAAGTGGATGATACTTGCAACCAGAGAAAAGGATCGGAGCATGCAGTTCGATTATCCTTTTGCACAACAGCTTGTTTGTCACGTGCTTACAGTCATGCATTTTTAAATTAAGAACCACTTGGAATGTACACAAATTTATTAAATGACTACCTGAATGTCCACATTGATATATCAGCAAGAGATGGTGCACATATAACAGCTCCTTCTTCAAAAACACCCTCCTTGTACGCATGAAGATGAACCCTTACAAAATATAACTTATAGCTGTAACTAATTTGCGTAGTCCCATTTTGGCCTTTTTCCATCATGCTTTTGTCCTTCATAACCTTAACAAGACTCGAGTGTTTATTTTGCAATTGAGGAAATAAAAGTAAATGTTCACCCCCAATGTCATTCAAGAAGTCAGTGAGCACACTGGATGTCCTTGCTACAATGCCATCAAATGAATTATGAGATCTGAATGATGTTACATCACTTTCACAACTTGAAGTACCAACTATATTTTCACCACTTGAAACTTGAGCTGCTTTGTTTACCCTCATGGTTAGCTTGTCAAAAGCAGCATGTACAGCATTCCAAGGTGATGGAATTGGAATTCTGAAAGGTCGTACAGCTGGAGGACGCCGCTCTGCATTTTCCCTAGAGGCAATAGCTTCAATTTCATTTAAGGATAAGTATGAATGGCAGTCAGGGAAATCTGAAGGAAAATAAGGCAATCCAATCTGCAAAAAAAAGGGGGGGGGGGTTAACATCCGGGGTTGGATAAGTGGGCATTGCAATACAGGATTCTCAGAACCAAGCACTTACTTCACCAGCAATCCAGCGTTTTTTCATCCCTATCACAGGGGCCCCTTTGGAGACCAGAAAATTCCAGAAGACCCTACTCCAACTTATAGGTAGTATAACAGACCATCTGCAACCAAGAATAAGGGAAGAAAAATCATTGATGAGTTCCAAGACATTTCTGGATCAAGAAATTTTCAAAGAAAAAATATTTGGCCTCCATAATGGCAAACAAAAATCAGATCATACGGATAAGAAAATTGCAAATCCTGCCAGATCTATCAAGGTAAATCTAAAGCAGCATAGATATGTCACTGTCAAACAGATTTATCCAGCCATTTGCCTCAACTAATAGGACTTAACGGTGCAAACAGTGTACCATTTGTCTCCATTGTGCTTGTCTAAGGTAAAGGTCTCCCTTCTCAAACTTTTATGGTGCAGCTGCTTTTAGCTCAAGATATTTTTTTAGTGAAATAGAAGGCATATGCCACAATTACACACCAAAAAGTTGTTATGTAATTGATATGATTTCGACTATATGTTTCGAGTTATATGAGAATGTCCGATCGTGATTCTAGTAAGAACTCCACAATACTTTGAATGTAATCTGAAATTCACAAACAACGTTGTAAAATATAAATAGATAGATAAATATAGAAATGTAAAGATGAAAAAAATGTTGAAATGGATTAGCAGCGTAGGAAGAGTGATGGTTGTGGTTAAGGAAAATAAAGGATGAAAAGGTTGGTGAAGATAGTAGGGAGTTGGTTTGTAGTATGAAGAATCTCAAGGAAATTGATTACGACCCGTTAGCTATATATAGCTAAGAACCAACAATATAATATGATGGAATCGAGGTGGAAGATGATGAAACGTGACCCACTAGCTATAGGTGAGCTAGGAACCAACGTTATAATAAAATGAAATGGAGGAAGGCTTCAAGACTGACAAGAAACCGATAGAGTTCTAATCCAATAACTAAAATGAAAGCAACATTTCAAAGAGTTTATTATGAAAAAAGTTAATTCGGTTAACCGAATTAACCAAAATTTTGATTAATCGAACCAAATTAACCAATTTTTTGTTTCGATTAACTCGGTTAATAATTTTCAAACAACCAGTTAATTCAGTCCGGTTAATAATTTTCAAATAAATTTTGGTTCGATTAACCGAGCCGAATTAACCTACTTTTTTTCTTTAACCGTTAATCGAACCAAAATTTATTTGAAAATTATTAACCGAACCGAATTAACCAATTTTTTTCTTTAACCATTAATCGAACCAAAATTTATTTGAAAATTATTAATCGAACCGAACAAATTTAGGTAATTCGGTCAATTTTTGAATTAACAATTTTTTTAAATTATCTAATTTATATAACAATTGAATATTTTTAATTCAAAAAAACAATTTACAATCAATTTGTTTAAACAAATAATTTGTTTAATTGTTTATCATTAACAAACTTTTACAAGTCAAATACAAATTATTGTAAGTTTAAATCATTGTGGACTTTTGGTTTAATGGTTTGAGCGCCCGATAGCTTCTCTCCCTTGACACGTGTCACAACTTGATTGAATAGATAAATTATTTAATTAAATAATTTAAAATTCATAAATAAAATATTCCAATCATATATTGACACGTGTCACATTCTAATTGGATAGTTAAATTTATTTAATTGAATTAAAATAGTGACTAAATTGATAGAATATGTAAATATTAAGGACTAAATATATAATTATGCCAATTTTATTAACGGACACATCACCACCTATGTTAAAAATTAGCGGTCAATGGTTTGATTGAATCCGTTAAATAGTTGAGTGGTCTGATTGATTCTATTGAAAGTTCGGTAGTCACATTGATTTTTTACCATAGTTTAGTGGTCTCCCATGTAGTTTACCCTAAATAGTTTTACATACCCAAAAACAAAAAATGGCATAATTTTACGGACTTATTTACTTTTTTCTAAGAAAAAAATATCCGTAGCCTCAACTACAATAAACAGTATGCTTATCGTTGCCAATTTCATTCTCTTGCAACAACGTTGATTCTGTCTTCGAAAATTGCATGAAATTTCTAACGTCGAAAGGCAACTCCATGCCAACTTCATCATCGCGTCTACTACCTTATTCCCTTCGCGAGGGGCATGAAAAAAGTGTAAATGTCAATAAGTGAGAAATGATAGATTTTCTAGTGCTCCCAAACTTAATGTTAATTAAATTTTTTTGATTATATATATTAAATTATTTTTAACGTGTTGTACATTCGAAGAACATCTTTCAAAAATTATCAAAATTTTAAAAACTTCAAAAATATTATATCTTCGAAATCATTCGTCATTGAGATCGTTCTCCGATGCCTATATTCTTTTGTCTTTGACATAATTTTTAATAGAAAAATATGATCGTTTACAAGCGTATGTGCATAGCTTGTCATCCTATTAACAGGTATGTTGACCCAAAATCTAACACCAATCACCTTATAATCAAGATTTTATATTTTGAGGAAATACTAAGGGAAAAAAATATTTTTCTCTTTCCTCAATTTTTATCTACATTACTTATTTTCTCTCCCACGTCACATTTTTGAATTCCTACATCAATTACGACTCTCTACGTAAATAATAAAGATGAATCATCAACAACCGATTTAATTAATTTATTTTTTATTAACAATAATAATTTATTTAAATACCTTAATAAATGTAATAACTTATTAGATAATAATTTTTAATTTATAATATGCAATAATTTAATTGAAGTTAGGGTTCCCTGCAACATAAGATTAAAGGCATTATTACTTCTGGATGAAAGTGATTTACTGATGATTTTAATTTTAATAACTAGAGGATAAGAATTATATTTAAAATAAAATAGTATTTTAAAGATACACGGGATTAAATTTTCCTTTGAAACGGGCTTGAAAGAGCACTAAGTGACGACCCTTTTGGTTCAACCGGAGCAGATCAGAGCAGGCCCGCCTAGTTCAGTCAACTAGCCCAAAAGCAATTGTTTTAATCAGCCGAAGCACGACTTAAAGAGGATCAGCCCCAAAGCATAGATATTTATCAATTTCAGGGAATTTAACTTTTGGCGGCGGTTAATCGGTTATTGTAGATTTTTCTCCTGCTTCGTACTTCTGGCTGTCAAAATTTCACAAGGTGACCTTAAACGATATGTTGATGGGATCAGTCGTCAGTATAGATATGTTGATGGGATCAGTCGTCATATACTCGCGTTTCATTTTAAACACATAAATTAGGGTTCATCGCTCCCAAAAGCATACAGCATTGTCCCTCTTTGTTTTGGTTGAACAGGGGAAAGCCGCCAAAAGGGGATGATTCAGATTTCAGGTTTGTGCGTGAATCTAACAAAACCAAAGATGAAAAGTTGGATTTGTTTAACATTAGATTCACGCACAAACTCGTAATCTGTCTTTTCATTTCGCTTCGTTCTCTTTTTTTTTTTTTTTTTTTAGAGAAAATCGCCTCAGTGACCAAAAAAAGTTATAATATACGATTTTAACCAACTTTTTTTAGATTTGCCAAAATGACCAACAAAATCGCAACGCGAAATAAAAATCGCAACGCGATCCCCAGAATCGCAAATCAGTTTCCAGAATCGCAACGCGATTCTTGAAAATCGCGATGCGATAGTACAAATTCGCATTGCGATTTTCCATAATCGCAACGCGAATATGAAAATCGCAACGCGAACACATAAATCGCAACGCGTATCCGTAAATCGCAACGTGTATCCGTAAATCGCAACGCGTATGGGTAAATCGCAATGCGTATCCGTATATCGCAACGCGTATCCGTAAATCGCAACGCGTATCCGTAAACCGCAACGTGTATCCGTAAATCGCAACGCGTATCCGTAAATCGCAATGCGTATCCGTAAATCGCAACGCGTATCCGTAAATCGCAACGATAATCCGTAAATCGCAACGCGTATCCGTAAATCGCAACGATAATCCGTAAATCGCAACGAGAATCTGTAAATCGCAACGATAATCCGTAAATCGCAACGAGAATCTGTAAATCGCAACGATAATCCGTAAATCGCAACGAGAATCTGTAAATCACAACACTGAAATTTTGGGTATATAACACTGAAATCATAAACTAAATCCCTAAATCGCAACTCATTCCATCTCCATCTATCACTCTCTCCGGCGACATCCGTTCCTATATCCAACGACATCCTTCCCCATCCGGCAACAGGTCTTAGTTTCGCATCTCGTTTGTTTAGTTACAACCATGAAATCATCTAATGTTGATCATGTTTGGATAGATTTGTGTTTTGGAGGGTCATGGGATAATGTTAATGGTGTTTTACAATATATGCCTTTACCCATAAATCTTCAACTAAAATTGTCTTTACAAAAGTTAACTTATGAAACTCTAATGCTACGTGTTTCAAATAAATTGAATTTAGAGCCCCTAAGTGGATTTAGGCTATCTTATCAGAGAAATGGTAAAGTTTATTTGTTAACCGACAATGAAGATGTTGAACGATTCATTGCTTACATTAGTGTTTCACAAGATGATGTTACATTGTATGTTGTTGAACCTAGAAGTAGTATTGTTGGGTCAGTAGCGGGTAGTAATCAACTAAGTTTTTCTCAAAACCCACAACCTTTCTCTAATCCAAATCCCAATCAACTTTCAGCACCAAATTCCGGTTTTCGTATTGACCAGTTAGACGATGATGAGCCAACAGAAAAAATTGTGAGTACTAGTCAGTATTCGAAATTTGGTCTTGGTCAATATCCGGACTTTGATATTGGTCAATACACGGATTTTGATGATGTTTCAGAAGAAGAAACATACCATGCGTGTAATGATATTGATATTGGTCAATACCCGAATTTTGATGATGAAACAGCCGTTGCCGAAGAATGTAATGTTGATGATAATGAGGAGGAAGTTACGACTGTGAATGAACATGTTGAACATCCATTCTGTAATTCATATAATCCTGAAGAAGAAAAAGAAGAAGAAAAAGTCCCCGAAGAAAAGAAAATGCCACGGGCGTATAACTGGAATATGCCAGAATTACTTCAGATACCGGAAGAAGAGTTGATAAAGAAAGCAGTTGATTGTTACACAAAGTTATTCGTATCAAGAAAGATGATTGTTTTGATACAAGGAAGACTTGAAGATAGCTTTATATACGAAATGTGTGGAAGATGGCTATCAACTAAAAGTTAACAAATCAAGCAAAGATCGTTTCGAAACAAGGTGTATGATTGACAAAAACTGTACGTGGCGTATGATTGCAAAGAGAATAAAAGATTGCAAAATGTTTCAAGTTAGGACTTTTATTGATAAACATACATGTTCAAGAACCCAAGTTTTTCCTCACCATAGACAGGCAAACAA